AACCGACAGAGTGCAGCACTCGACGGAGTCCTTTTAAAGTCCAGTGATTGCAAATTAGTGGCAGGTGCGCTGCTGGAGGGAACGCCCTCCACTCCAGCTGGAACTGAAACAAAACAGAGCAAGATCAAACCATGACATTGGATGTAGTACAACCTGAACTGATAGCCAGCCAATAGCATTATTATTATTATTATTATTGTTATTGTTATTATTTTTATGAAAACCTGATTTGCTTGACAAAAAAAAAAAAAAACGGGCAGATTCTGAATCATCGCAAAAATATCATAAAGAAGAGTTTATGTGCATCTCTGATTTAAAAATGTTCCAAAAATTTGTTGGCCAGTGCAATGTAACACCACATAATAATATATAAAGTACACTAACTTTGACCAGTTTCATAAATGATATGGCTTTTCAACACAGTCTTTTTTTCCTTAGCGCAGCTGTACCACCCTCAGGATTAAGCCCGGGAGTCAGCATAAATCCCATGGAGGTTTTACATTTGTATTATGACTGTGTATATTGGTATAAGTGTGCTTTGCTATCTTGTTTACTCACTATGGTGTGAAAATAATAATTTTGATTGATGGCCACCATATATAGTTCCACCCATCTTTACATACAATTCTACCTGTGAAAAGCCTTGGAAAATACCAAAAGAAAGAACATTTCACCAATGTATACAGTTAGACTCCACTTTGACGTGTACAGAGCATGAGAATAGGACACCAAATGTGCCTTGACTGAAGACCATTTCAGGGTGTAGTCCGCCTTTTGCCCGAGTCGGCTTGGCTAGCCTCCAGTATTGAAAATGGATATATTGAAGGATTCATTCATTCAGCTGTTGTGATCTCAAACACCTGTGCTCGACCAATTCTGGGCCTGAGCAAGGTGACGCTTTGGTCGTTGCTGACAACCACTCGCCAGTGTAACAAGGTACTCAGCCCATCCTGACTTAGGACACAGAAGCCAAGCAAATACCAGGACCCCGGCAACGATAAACTGCCATGAAGAACTCAATCAATCAATCAAACAAACTTTACATTGCACTTTTTATACATAAAATGCAGCTCAAAGTGCTGTACAGTTAAAACATTTCAAACTTACAACATAAAAAGGGGACTCCCCCCTTCCCCTCAATATACACAAATCTATATCCACACAAACATGCCTATGCTTGCGCACACACTCACATACACACATGCACACAAATATACAAAACTTGCACACATACCCGAATGATCATGATATTAAAAAAGACATGGCAAGGCACAGAGAAACCATATAAGGAAAAAAAAAAAGCAAGAACCATACCTCCCAGCATGGAGGCCCTTGAAGAGGAAACACTGGCTCTTAAAAAATATTATAATAATAATAATAAATATGAAGGGCTCAAATTAAAATAAGTATATAAGTTATTCAAAAACTAAGCTAAAAAGATTTGCTTTAAGCCTCCTCTTAAAAATGTCAACAGTCTCTGCAGACCTGATGTTCTCTGGCAGGCTATTCCATGGCTGGGGACCAAAATGGCTGAATGCAGCCTCACCATGTGCTTTGGTCCTCACCCTGGGAATAATAATCCGCAACGGTTGATATGATAAACTTAAGTCAGATGAATAAGATGGCCCAAGACCATGAAGACATTTTAAAACTAATAAAAGCACTTTAAACTCTATCCTAAAGCACAGAGGGAGTCAATATAGCAATTTTAACTCTAGTGTCATGTGTTCCCGCCCTCTGGTCCTCGTCCCGGTTGAGCTGTAGGAAATTCCCTGCCATCCATGACTCAATATCTGAAATATAATTTAAAAGGTTATCAAGGCCCTGTGTTGTCGTCAGGAGACACGGCAATATACAGCAGTGCATCATCAAAAATGTCAGAATTTGTTGATGTAAGGGTTTTACTTCAAACATACACTATGTATCCTGCTCTGGCAGGAACTAAAAAAAAAATAAAAAAAAAAGTAAGCCAAGCTTTTTTTGGGTCAGGGTGAAAATAGACACGGAGCCTTTTAAGATGCAGACGAGACAAAATCACATTTCGCCTGTCTTAAAATGAAAGGGACCAAGGATGTAAAATGCTTTACAACATGTCTAAGTGAAATGTTTCACGTGAGCGGGAGACAACACGTGAAAAGATAGCATCTGAGGTCTTTCCAGGTGTAAAATTGACAGATGAATTGTAGCTCTTCTCACAATGTCCGTTTCCCCTCAGGGAAAACCTCCAAGGAAAGCTCTGGTGCTTGTTCTAGGGTAATTTTTTTTTTTAAGTGTTCAGTGACTTTTGGAATGACGTGTCTCACCAATAGCTTGAGAAACAGCATATAGTCCTAATTTATCCAGACACAGCTGTACCATCCATGAAATCTAAAATAATTTCCGACTCTGTTGTCATGCTAAAGTGATTATTTCCCCCTGGCTACAATTACTTTTCCATCCAATGTTTGTATTTATTGTCCTTTGGTTGTGATCAGCACCTACAACATTTCATAAAATTGCATACTTCACTCACATTAAAAAAATATTTTATTCCAACTTTTCAAAACTGAAGAAATGACACTTTACTCCAAAGTCAGCATTCAGCTTGTCTCCCAGTGTAAATTTCCTGTGCCCTCAAAATAACTCAACCATTGAAGTCTGATCTGCTGATATCGAAAGTGCATAAACTCAGTGTGAAACCCCAAATCGTGCCCAAAATTTCAATATTTTGTGTGACCACCATTTTTTAAAGCATTTGCAAGATTTCTCACACTTCTGGCATGGAGTTCATCAGCATTTCATAGGTTGTCAATGACAACTTCCCACAGCCGGTTGATATCAAAGACCTTAACCCTTTCATGCACCCTGTAACCTGATAACTTGATAAGCTGTCCACTGTGGTAACCGCTGTCCCTGAAAGGGTTAGATCCCTCCACTTTCCACTTAAGGCTGTCACACATGCTCAGTAGTGTTTAGGTCTGGAGATGTTGCTTAATCAGTATATAACCTTTAACCTTAGCTGCTTAAAGGGGGAGTCAACCCCAAAAATGTCTTTACAAATGTTCTATGCACCCCCACCAGTCTAAACAAGGTATTCTCATTAATATTGTGTTTGTGAAGTATAAGTTAATCAGCAAAATTCCCCCGTGTTTATCCATCTCAGGGGGTGGCCATTTGCTACATGCTGTCGACTGAAAATGGCATCACAGTTGCTCAGTACTCAGGTCACGACCAGACATGGCGAATTTTAAGAAGACAAGTGATTGCGATTGGTGTGGTGAGATTTAAAAGGATTATTGTAACGATCTCCACCAGGAGGTGCTAGTGGACTTACTAATGATTGCCACCGCTTGTTTACGTCAGAAGGCTCAATTGACGGCAGCCTGAATGCTTTTCCTTTTCCACTGTTGTTGCCCAGCTAATCTGTTAATAAAAATAGTTACTGAACATGAATCCGTGATATCATAAAATGGCATCAGAAGTCGCGCTGCAGCCAAGACCGAAGCAACGTGATGGCTAAGTTTCGCTCTCTTGAATTGTTTGACTTGACCGAACTGTCGACTTGGCCGTGACCCAACTGTCGACCTTGAGGCAGCATTTTTCCCGCTTTAGCATTGCAAACAAGTTTGACCAAGGAGATTAGGATATACTCATAAATATGCTGTTATAGGCTATGGGGAAAGAAGCAGAACCAATTTTATCACCTTTATGTGCCCACATGATGTTGAGGGCTATTATGAAGAAGTGTTAAAGGTTCATGAACATTTTGTTCCTAAACCGAATTCAATAGACCAATGTGCCTGTTTCCAATGGCACTCACAGCTCCAAGGGAATAGCGTGCAGGCGTTTGTCAGAAAGCTTGACAAAGGCTTTATAAGCTTGCAGAGCACTGTGACTACTAGAGATGAGCAGATAAAGGATCTCATTGTGATCGGTATCACCGATATAGACGTGTCACAAAAGTTAAAACTTAAACCGGATTTGACATTGAAAAAGGCAATCAGTATTGCACATCAGTGAGAGCTGAAAAAAATATGCCAGCCCCGGAGCAACAAATGCACGCAAGTACAAGCAACCCAAGCAGTATGATGAAAGACATTTTAAACACAAAGACATTGACCAATAAAAAACTGTGACACAAAAAAGCAATGAAAATGTGCATGACGTTTGGATAAGAGCATGAATGCACTGCATGTCCAGCTATAGGTAAACACTGTCATAAATAGAACAAAACGGCATTTTGAAGCAATGTGGAAAACTAAAAATGTGCCTGCACTCCATCCTACTAAGTGTGAGCGATGAGGGCAGGGCATGGTTTCTCTGAGCCTGTTATTGATGGCAGTGAAGGTGACACGATGAACTTAAAATCAGTGGCACAGTTAATCGATACAGATGCAAATATAACAGTGACAAAAAAAAGACAAAATCAGCCTTCACAAGCTCAGGTGGAAAGGTTGTGTGCAAAGGAAATTTGATGACACACTGTGAAAGACAGAGAAACTTTTCCCTTTTGGGTTTATGTAACGTCAGGGCCCTTTGAAACAAGCACACAAAGTACATGGATGAAGGACTGCACTTCGAATAGGATGAGTGCGCAGAGTAACTGGCCTTAAGTCATGATGTTTTCGGGGACATTAGACTGTTAAATCCGAGAACCCTTTCTACGATACTGTTAAATCGTGAACAGTCAAAATCAAAATGGAGCTTCAGTCGCAGGCCGAGCTAATACAGCATTGCAACCCTGAGGAGCATCCCATTTCCAATCCTACTTCAATTTCCAATCCTCAAACTGTAGAGGAAGTAAAGGGAAGCCACAAACTGGTGCGCCCCTATGGTGCCAGTGATTGAAAGGAACAAGAAACCGCTGATCTGTGTCAATTTAACAAGACTGAACAAAGCTTTGAGGAGAGAGAGGTGCATCCTGCCCACAGTGGAGGACATTGGACCAGGCAAAACAGTCTTCTTGTGGATGTTTCAAAGATAGGTTTTGACAGATCCCACTTGTTGAATGAAGCAGGGCAGCCCGGTAGTCAAGTGTTTAGCGTGTCGACATCACAGTGCAGAGGTTGTGGGTTCGATCCCGGCTCCGGCCTTCATGTTCTCCCCGTGCCTGTGTGGGGTTTTCTCAGGGTACTCAGGTTTCCTCACACATTCCCAAAACATGCCTAGGTGTGAGTGTGAGCGCACTGTTGTTCGTCTCTGTGTACCCTCCGATTGGCTGGCAACCGGTTCGCGGTGTCCCCCGCCTACTGCCCAAAGACAGCTGGGATCGGCTCCAGCACGTCCCACGACCCTTGTGAGGATAAAGCGGTTCAGAAAATTGATAGATAGATGGATGGATGTTCGCCGGATGGTGGATTCCACTGGAACGTAGAACGGACAATGGCCCTCAGTTTGCTTCATCGGCATTACATCAGTTTAGCGAGGAGTACAACCTCGAGCACACTTCGATCGAGTCCTCTCTACCCTCAAGCGAATGGAGCAGCTAAGAGGAGTGTTGCTCGAGCAAAAAGAATCCTTTGTCAACCAGATCCACAATTTTTCTTGCTGAGCTATAGATCCACACCCATCGCTGCAAGGAACCAGAGACCAGCTCAACTGATAATTCTGCGTGAAATAACGAGTTTTCCTATTGCAACACCAGCTGAGCCTGACTGCAGTTTATCACCAGGCGATGAGAACACAGGACCAACGCACAAAGCCGCCTGCTGCTTTTTCTGCAACAGGTGCCACTCCACCCATATTCTGCTTGTACTGGAGCCTGGCCACTGCGTTACTGTCAAACTGGATGGGGAAAAGAGCTGAAAACCCCCAGCAAAAGTCATCCCTCAAGCTTCAGAGCCAATGTCCGATCTCATCCAAACTGACCATAGAACTGTTGCCTGCAGGAACAGAAGGCATTTACAGAAAGTGCCTCACCCAGCTTCCCAGAGTGCTTGACGAGAGATGAGTAGGGACTGTTACTTTTGCTAACTTGACTGTTGGTAATCCAGGTGACACAGACAAAACTCTCACCTCTACTAGTTCATTTGCTACCTGTGTGCTCACAGTTTCCTCAAATTCAGGTGCCGACTGGTTACCGGTCACAGTGCAGAGGTCTGCGGTTTGATTCCGGTCCCGGCCTTACTGTGTGGAGTTTGCATGTTCTCCCTGGGCCTGCGCGGGCTTGCTCCCACATTCCAAAAACATGCATGGTAGGTTGATTGAACCATCCAAATTGTCCCGAGGTATGAATGTGAGTGTGAATGGTTAGTTGTCTGTGTTTGCCCTGTGAGTGGTTGGCAACTAGTTGAGTGTGTACCCCACCTACTGCCTGAAGACAGCTAGGCCAGGCTCCAGCACGCCCGCGACCCTCATGAAGATAAACAGATCAGATAATGAATGGATGGATGGGTTTAATTATTACAATGATCCAGAGGGATCGTCCCACGCTGTTGTCATATTTATGAATGATATATGCTGACATCTGTCTGCCTGCGCTTCAAAGAAATACACCAACATCATGTTCCACCACCTGTGCTACCATTTAGACCTGCTAAAGTCAATTTTTACTCACCAAATTGGCAAGTGCGCCGGAGCAGTGTAATACAAAATGCCCTTATTGTCCCGGAACGCCTAGCAACGCGCGGCGCGGTCGACGACATTCACAAACATGGTAAACTAGACTTGAACCGGCACGAACATGGAAATGTGCCCGTTCTCACACCAAGCGCAGTCATCTTTTTGTGACCAAATTATCAGGCACGTGGGGGGCGCGGCAGCCGGAATGCCAGCACATTGCGATCTCAAACACTCTAGACGAGACTTGCCCCAGCACCAAAATGAAGAATTTTTCACACCAAGCGCAGGGGTGCCTGCCTATGAAAATAGGGCCCATAATCTTGATCATGTCCAGGCTTTTCCACAGTTTTTTTCAAATTCCCTCAAAATTCTTTGCTCTTCTTTCTTTTCTCCGCAGACACACAACACAAAGGCTGAATCACCTTTTGTTGGTGAAAATTCTTTATTCATGTGGGATAAACCATTATGCAACATCTTGTTTGTGAGAGAGTCCCACACAAGAAATAACTTTTCCCCATTTTAACCAGCTGCTAAAGAGATTTCTAAATTGCCAGCACCTGTTAACCCATATGCTGCAGTCGATGTAAATAAGTTTATATAACGCAACATACAATTTTACAAAAATTGTAAAAGTATTATTCCTGAATATTTATTTTACTTTCAACCACTCGACATGTTCAGTGGCATCAGTGCTATACATACACATATAGTTCTTATTTTTTTCTTTGTATTTTTGCCCTCTATGGACAATAAAAGCGGTATTGTGCTATGACCAAAACATAAATATAAATCTATATAAATAAAACATGAATTGGAATATTTCATATCACACAATTTTTATGCTTTGTCTTTGATTTAAAGATGACAATACGCAAAAATCTACAAAAATTGTAGAAATTGTCACACATGGGTAATTAACACGCCTGAATTTAATTTCAAATTAAAACACCATGGCATGGAATAATTGAACATTATTCTTCACAACTTTGATGACAATAATTTGGTCTAGTACATTGTTGTGTGGAATTATCAGGTTTGCCCTTTCTCTTCTCTTTTTGTTATTGTAAACAAGAGAAATATTTGAATACTGAAGAATGTTTGCGTCATCTGACGAAAGCACAGGGGTTCCAATGTTTTTAGCCATGCCTGTATTTATTACTTATTCACTGAGTTTCCTACCGTTAATTGAAATTACCCCAAAACAAACGCGAGACTCAAGCCCAGGGGTTTTGTTAAACGGTACCCTTTTGTGGATCCTTCAGCACAAGATAACTGGAAATTTGTCATCTTAGCTCAACTTATGGTGAACCTGACATTCACTCAGAAACATAACATAAATATAGCACAAGCATTGAAACCATTCGGTGTAAAATAACCACTTTACTGCACATCGGAAAGCAAAACTGCACCTCTAATATGTATATTATGTTGTTGTGTACAACTGTTGTGTACAACAGAGAGGAAATTGTGAGAAAATGCCTGGTAAATGACGCAGTCAAACAAAAACTTCCCCCGGGGCTGCAAATGTTGGCTCTTGTTGCTTGTACATTGGAATTATCTCAAATTTCGTTTGCAGTGAACAACTGGCTCGGGATACACAAGCAGGAGTGGTCATGCTGAGGCCTGTTATTTCTGCTCATTATCACTCCACGGGACGGTTACAATGAACACCACATAATTAAAGAAAAAAAAACCTTTCATGCCATTCTTTTCTTAAGAATACAGCTTTGACTAAGTTTGTTTAGTATTCTCTGCAGGGCAGCACTGAGAGTAATGGGCCTGTACCCTGCGTAGATTATTTTGCAGTGGACATTGGCCTATCAGTAGAAGCACCCAGGTTGCCCACTCAATCTAATGAGATCAAGTATAAGAATCTTTTTTTTTTTTAATGTTGCCTTTACAACGGCTTTCAGGGGCTCACGTATTGCGTAGTGTGTGATTACTGTGATAATGTTATTCACAAAAAAATGAAAACATTTTGTTCATGCACTAATTGAAAAATGTCAACTGCTTTCGAAAAAGGAGGCTTCACTAGTACAGACTAGTACGGCTTAGTCATGTTTGACGTCTAAATAAGAAGTTCCTACCACTTTCTCAATGTGGCTGCACTGTTTGACCTGCCAACTGAGAGTTTCTGTTGTCAGGCACGGGTGTGTATTGGTGCTTTGTACACATTCATAAAGAATGACTCTAAATCACATTTGACTGAGTCAGAAGAAACCCCCTCTGCTATGTGCACACAAAGGTGCAGGCCAGACTTGCGAAATACAGTGTGAGATTATTTACACTGTTCGTTGTATCGACCCCTTGACCTCAAGGTTGTAAATGCACTGACTGGAAATGTATCATGTTACACTGGAATACGGAAATGGTTTGTATTCCGAAAAGGTCATTGAGGCACAAAGCTTTATTCGATAAATCTGATCCAATACAAGATGTTAGATGGTTTCATGAAGTTATACACTAGTTCCTTGTACACACTGTCAAGTGTATGTGTGTCTTAGAGATGAATATCACAGTTTTCTCATTTAGAGACCTCATTTAAAGTCCTGCAAAGCCATGCCTCTCTTTCTCTTTTGTCTACAAAATTATTGGGCTAGCATTAAATAAGTAAATGACTTAAATTCTATTTGTTTATCCAAGATTCACAAATACCTTAGTCTTGACTGGTCTGTATATTGAATTTATTTTTTATTTAAAAATATAGCTAGTGGAGTGGGACGTGATCAAAAATTGAAATTAATTATATTTTCACTGAATACAATTTATGGGCTGCTGCAAGAAGGATAATACGAGTTTGAGAAATATTTTAGGTGGTGGACTGGTTAGCCTCACAGTGCGGCGGTCATGGCTTCGAAACCGGCCCTGGCCTACCTGTGTGGAGTATGCATGTTCTCCCTGTGCCTGCAGGGCTTTTCCACATTCCAAATACATGCAAGGTAGCTTGATTGGCCCTCAAAATTGTCCGCAGGAGTGACTGTGAGCACAAATGGTTATTTGTCTATATGTGCCCTGTGATTGGCTGGCCACCTAGGGCAGAGTGTACCCCGCCTACTGCCCAAAGACAGCTTGAAAAGGCTACCTACCGCACCCGCAACCCTTGTGAGGATAAGTGTTTCAGATGATGGATGGATTTCCAAGTCGGTTGACTTTAAGAGAACTGTTCGAGCATCAGTGAGGCATGTCAGCAACCCCTAGATAGCTAGCTAGCTACCTAGCTAGCTAGGTAGATAGATAGATAGATAGATAGATAGATAGATAGATAGATAGATAGATAGATAGATAGATAGATAGATAGATAGATAGATAGATAGATATTCCAAATAGATAGATAGATAGATAGATAGATAGATAGATAGATAGATAGATAGATAGATAGATAGATATTCCACCATTAATATGACCAATAAATTTTCCACTTCAATTGAATTTTCATTCCATCCTTTTGAGAGGGGAAGTTTGACAAACTCTCAACTCAACTTTAATCATAGAACACTTTAATCCTAAAGATTGCTGCCTACAAAGTGCTGGACGTGGAGTAAGAATCAGGCATACAAAAATAATGACAGTTGAAACAATAAATTAATAACATAAAAACAGTAAACAACTTCAAAAACTGAAACAAGGCCAAGTCTTATGCCTGCAGCATGAAAATGTGTTGCCTAAACTTTAGTGGGAGATCACTCCAAAGAGAGGGACTGGCAGAACGCTTGATCTCCTCTGAGCCTCAGTTTAGTCCTCAGTACCTCTAGTAGCATCTGGTCTGCTGACCCGACACACCACTTAGGTTGAGAGAGGTGGAGAAGCTCAGAGAGGTAAGGCCAGTTAAAAATTTTAAAACAAAAGAATCTTGAAATGAACTCCAAGGTGTGCATCCTGCCAGTGAAGGGAGGCCAGAATTAGTGTAATGTGCTCCCTTCTAATGCCCCCAGTTAGGAGGCAAACAGCGGCATTTTGGACCAACTGGAGATGCTTGAAGGATGACAGGCTGACAAAATAAAAGGCATTACAGTTACACAGCCAAGATTTAACAAAGGCATGAATGACAATTTCTAAGTGCTTCTGAGAAAGGAAAGACTTTACCTTAGCCTGTTGTTCAATGTAAAAAGGTGGCATTACCATCAGCACCAATTTGCCGGTGCAATTTAAAATCACTATTAAATTTAAAACCCACGTTTGAGACTCTTGGCTTTAGATAAGGCACCAGGGAGCCAAATGAGAATGAGTCAAGCAGCCAATTGTTAATCCAGTCATATAGAGTGAAACTCCTCGAGAACGAAACCTACATGGGCGAAAATACCCCTTGATGTGAAAAAATCTTAATGCATTAACACCATTCCCATTCTACTGCCCCCCATACGACGAAAAAAAAAACCTGTTGCGTTATACGAAATCATTTTCTCTGCTCCAGCCTCGCGAAGACATTCACTACAACGAAGTCTAATGCAACCGCGACCTCTACTGCTTCGTTCGGAAATGGCAACAGCAACCATCACAATGGTTTACATAGTGAACGAAGTTTATTTCGGTCACAGCTGCGAGTTCCTGAACGCAACATACTCATAGCTGCTCTGCCATTGGCTTACCGAG